GTTTGCTTGTTTGTTTTTAGCTCAGGGGCTAATATTCCTCTCTGAATCCTCTATAGTTCTCAACATTATTGCCTCCTACTAGGATGGCCCACTAGGTCCAGTTTGAATACTCAACCACTTCCCTAGTACAATGTCCCAGAGTCTTCAAAAACCAGCATGGTAAAAGTTGCTGCACCAATAGACCAATCCATGGTACCAACTCTTAGTCACCTTTCAGTTACTGGGACAAAACAACATAGCCAAAGCAACTTATAAAAAGAAACCTTTATTTTGAGGGTCACAGTTGCAGACGGCTAGAGTCTGGAACTATCATCACCATGAGTAACATGGCAACAAGCAGCCAGGGATGATACTGGAGCAGTAGCTTACATCCTTATCCACAAGTAGAAGGTAGAGAGCACTAACTTAGAATGGCGTGAGTATTAAAATCTTCAAAGCCCACCTTTGTTTCATACCTTCTTCAAGAAGGCCATATCTCCTTATCCTTCCCAAAAATCTTCCACCACTAGTGAGCAAGAATTCAAATACATGAGTCAGTGAATGTCATTCTCATTCAAACTACTATGAGAAGCTTGTCATAGTACATATAAACAGCTCGCTGGAGCAATGCTGCTAAATGAAGCAATATAATGGCCCTGGAGTGGAAAATGTAATCAGTAAAAGTTTTCACAGGCTAGAGAAGTAATAGCATACTTATTTATGTTTTATCCATATTTACAGAAATGATCTGATTAAGGACTTATGAGGGGAAACTAGGAGAGTGTTCAAGCAGACTAGTATGTTTATCGGCTTGCTTTTCTTTTGGTTTTGCTTTTGAAGACAGGGTATCATGATGGAGCCTTGTTTTGCTTGGACTGTGGACCTCCTGAACTGGCTTCCTCAGTCCTGGAATCACAAGTACATGCCATCATCCCTGGGATGGGGCACAATTTTTAAGGTGTCTAAATAGTTCCTGGTGCACTGTTCGAAGGGGAGAGCTTGAAATGATAGTATCTATGTACAATAAAGAGCAGGATACTGAAATGTAAGTTATCTTGGGGTAGCTATAATAAAACACCATGACCAAAAGCAACTTGGGAAGGAAAAGATTATTTCCTTTTCTTCAGCAGGCAACAGTTGCTTGTAACTCCCAGTCTAAATGCCTTAGTTTGAAATTTTTAATGAAAACAATTTAGTTTTAATTATCTTATAAAATGTGTTTATATAATATTTGAAAGTTTCATCATTCCAAGCATGCTATAATCATTATTCTGCTGCATTTCCCAACAGTGCAGGAGGGTAGTGGGCGCATTAAAGAAAATGAATGCATGCGGGTAGTTCATTCAAAATACACTTATTCCTTCTTTGTCTGTACATTTCCTGTTCTAAAGGGAAGGGTTTACCTGTAAGTTTTGTAACCCATAGGGCTATAGAAAATGAACATACAGACCTTACATGACTACACAGTTGGAGAGGCTTAAATTTAAATGACTCACATTGAAAAATGGCAATGATTCTGTCAAGGAGCGAGTACATAGAACACAGTTTGAGAAGTCCTGAGCTAGAACCACTGATCACCACCCAATGCTTGTCAGAATCTAAACATCACATTTGTGAATTTGCATTTTTCTGAATTGATATGGTTAAATAAATGGGAAAGACAAACATTGTGACGAGTGCCACGGCTTGAATGAAAACTTTCCCCCACAGGCGCACGTATTTGAACAGCTGGTTCCCAGATGTTAACACTGTTTGGAGAGTTA